GAGGTCTCCAGAAGCCCATCTCCCACATGAAAGCCCCTAGCCAGGCCAAGGCATGCTAGGTCCCTGGTGTTATTGGTAACACAACATGGGGTGGGGAAGTTGGGCACAAGCCCCAGGTGCCCGCTCAGTAGGGCACCAAGATGGCAGCTGCCCGGGGCCCCTGGTGCTTCAGCAGTGGTCGAGCGCAGGGCCCCTGCACCACCGCTGTAGCGGACGACGGGGTCAGGCAGACGGCTCCAGGCCAGCAGCAACTAGGGACTTTGAGTGCCTGGGGCAGGTAACACTGCCTCCCCTGCCTTCGCCCCACTCCCATAGGGTTTAGCTCAGGTCTCCCCCCCCCCCCATTTTGCCCAGGACTTGGCACCTCCTACCCAGCTTTGAGTTATACCCTTGGGGTGGCTGGGTGGAGAGGGAATCCCTCTGTTTCTGGTAAGAGACCTGCCTTTACATCTCCGTTGAGGCTGGCGCAAAGAGGCTGATCCTAGTGGCTCCGAAGCGGTCGCTCTACACCCGCTGGCTTAAGGGACCAACCACTTGAGCAGCCATTAGGGATATTTGTCTCCTGCAGGCAGAAAAGGGAGGAAGCCTGGGGAAAGCCAAGCTTAGGGAGGAGGTTTTATGCATCCTCCTGTAGTAACATCAGGAGTTGCTGGGGGGTGGGGGAAAAACAAACAAAACAAATTCCAAGAAGAGGGAAATACCGACCTTTATCGACATCTTGCACGGACCGTTTGAGAGCAGGGTTCCCAATCGCATTCAGGGTGCTGTCGGACAGTACAATTTGCACATGCTACCTCCAAGGAAGGTTATGCAGTATCCAAGTTAGTGCACGTGTGTGCCGTGAGCAGTCGCACGTAAGGTGACAGCAGCTTCTCCGAGCTGCACAGCTGACTTGCTCTTAGAGGGCTGATGAGCAGGGATGTGGCTAGGAGCTATCAAGTCTGCCCGGCTCTGGTGGCTCCCCTGAGGCTGCCTGCTCTCCCACGGTTCCCCCATGGCTGGCCAGCTCTCCAGTTGCATCCGTCTGGGTAAACCACCCACATAGGGGGTGGCACTGGAAACAGTGCATCCTGGGATGCTGGAGGACTATAAGTTACTCATCTTGGCCCCGTGGAGCAGACTGATGTTACCGCAACACAAAAACTGCCAGATGCTCCTCGCCCAAAGAGGCATAGCTTTGACAAATTCAGAGCACGCTCAACATCTTTTTCTGCTGGGATGCACAGACACGCCTGTCTTAAGTGCATTTAACACACAGGAAGGGTCGTGTCTAACACCACCCAAGGTACTGAGGCAGGAAGTTGCCAACATTTTCTCAGTTCTGGGGAAAGAAAGAAAAAGACTGAAGAGAGGGATTTACTTAATCTACCAGAAAGGAAACATTGGAAATGCTAACCCCTGAACCTCAAATGTTTTCCATCCTGGTGTTGTAATAACTTGGCACAGGATGCCCTAGACCGGCCTAACTCTTGCATTGTGAATCTCCTGCCAGAAGAAAATTCAAACTAGCATGGAAGGTAAAATATATCAAATTCCTTTTTTAAGTACTGCATATAACATAAAAGCAAAAGGGGTCATAAGAGAATGAGTGACATGAGACAAGAATATGCGATCTAACAAAACTAGAACCTGGATAGTTCAGCTGTATTGCACGCTCTCACCATTCAAAACGCCAACTGTCCGGGGGCCTGAACCTTCACAATGGCCCCAGATGGGCATGTGGATGGGTCCATGTAGAAATCCAGTGCGGGATCTATGCAGGAGGGAGCTGAATGCAAGATCAGGATCCTAGGTTGTCAGCTGTCCTAGGCAGGCTCTGGGCCTCCCGGTGTATTTGTTTTGCACAGTGTGATCATGACCCTGTGTGGGGTTTCTGGGCACCAAGGGCATTTATACATGTACATTTTTGCGCTGGGATGCACTAGAGACCCGGTGCGAGTCTGCCCCCACGTGAGCTGACGTGTGCTGCACCGCGTGAAGTTGAAGCAGCAGCAAAATGCAGGTCAGCGTGCAGAAATTGGGGGTGGCACGCTTTTCAACTAAAACTTCCTCGATGCGTTTTAGTTCAAGAGTGCGCCGCTGCCATTTTCTCACGCGCATTTTGCCACTTATACCATTGCACGCGCCACAGTGCCGGGCACTTTTAAAAGCAGTGCAAACAGGTACAAATGCCTCTGCAGCGGAAACTGATCTGCAATGCATTATAAAATAATTACAGTTCAAGACATCCGTCACATTCCTGAAGGCTACATTTTTTGCTGTTAGGCCGCTTAAAGGGAAACAACAATGGGATGAATGGCGGCTATATGGGTTATTCGCTAACACTTTTTCCTTTGGTGAATTTTCAAATTTCATTATTTATTTTACTGCAACTGGGATCTTGGAAAGACTCTCCATTTCCTGCACGTGGTTTTACATTTGGAATCTGGAATAACAGATGATGATCTTCCTGCTCTGGCCCGTGTAAAAAGCAGCAATCCCTTGATACCAAATCAACAGCTCCCACTCCCCTTATCATTTACTGAAGTAATAAAAATCACAGTGATTTAAAATATGAAGTACTTTAATTATTTTCATAACTGCAAGTGTTATCCAGAACACACAACAGGTCTTTTCAGTGCTGAATTACAAAACAGGAGGGAAAAAAAACAAAAACAAAAAAATCACATGAAGGACAGCAGCTGATGATTAACATAAGTTCAACTGAACAAAACAACGGCTGTAACTATTTATTAGGCACATACATACAACATAACTGATTATTTAAATTAAAAAAGAAAAAAAAAAATCAATTATATACACAAAATACTAGAAAATTACACTGGCCGTGATTTATTGCAGAATTCCCTTATATCTGAGAATTTCATACATGTAACAAGCCTTAGCATCTCTTTCTGCTCTTGGACCATTTTCTTAACATGAGCTGTGTGCAATTGTACACAGCTCACACAGTAGGCTACTTGACACGAGTGAATACAATCCAGCCCCAGCCACGAGACATCCTGGTGGTTCCACGTAATACAAGCGATTTACAGGAAAAAAAAAATGCCACTTGGGTTTACAAGACGAGACGTACCCATTTCCTACAGCAGCAAAGCATATCCCAACAGAAGTCTGTGTAGTATAAATAATTTTTGAGTTTAGTGTTACACAAGAGGTAGACGTAAGATTTTTGTAGCGTTCAAATATCCAGAGTCATTCTACAGAAACACTGAAATAAGCCTAAAAAAATCAGCTGATTAAAGTCTTGTATAACTAACACACGACATCTTATCTTTTTAGCTAAATTGTACTTGCACATATTTCTGTTGGGTCCACTAAACGGAGCACCTCGCAAAACCTCTCTCTCGTCAGCAATATTTCACTAGCAGTGTAAAAATCTGTTTTTAAATTTAAATGAGTTTGACCAACGTGTAAAAGATATACTTTGGACACCAAACAGTATATTAAAATATAGACACTATTAATCTTTTTATATTGGTCATAAAAAATAAAAGTAAACTTATTTGTCCCCATATATATTGGAAATAGCCTAATCTTGTGAAAAAACTATGCTCATTATTACTGTGCAAAAACAAGTGTTAAACCAGTTGTATTATATACAGTAAAAAACATAAAGCAACCTTTATCTGGCAATGGATTTTCTTAAGTCGACACTGGTCTAGTCCTTCTCTCATTCTGTTCTATGGTTTTCAAAGCTTATTGGCAAATAAGCAGCAAAGATTTAGAGTTCCAGTTCCCCCATTTAAGAAAAAGCTGCTATAAGCTGGTTTACCCCATTATTTATTTTTTTTACTTCTAAACAACAAAAGTCAAATAAGTACATTAAAATGCATCTTATCTTGCACCATTAATTATAGTATTGCTAATAAAGAAAAACATCACCATGTTATATATAAACTAATTTGACTGTCCTGTCAGAAAAAAAAAATAAAATAAAAGCAATAGTGTTTGTTAAAAGCAAAGTGTAAAACAATTTATAGTATGAAGTAACTTCATAGATGCACAAATTTTGCTTTTCATAATTGTACACAAACGTCACAAAACCGAAAAGTGCTGGTGATTGAGACGGATAAACTGCACTGGAGACAAATCAAGATCTTACCATGGTTAAGGCTGTATTTCTATCCAGGCAAATCAGTATAAACAAGGTGCAAAATTCTCGGCCGCCTATAGACTCGACTCAGCCAAAGCACGTACAGAAAGTGCATTCCCCAGCTTTACACAAAAGCAAAGTGCGTCTCCAGTTCCAATGTGTTACTGCGGTACGGAGACTCAACACTGCAGGGAATATATATTTTTCTGGAATTTCTTGATACTGAACAGTCAAAGGGGAACTGCAAAGCTTGCATGCACAAAACGATGACATCTCAGATTAACATCTCAGGTCATAAAACAGAAAGCTCAACTGAAATAAAAAGCTGGCAAACCTAATGACTTCCTCAGAAGCAGGATTGTACCCGTTTTCTATGGAGCCGAATTACAACTCGACAGTTTTAAGAGATGCTTGAAATGCAGCTCTCTACTGGGATCACACAAAATACCTGCATTGTGCTCCCTGCCGGCTTTTGGTATGGAGGTCGGTTCTTGCAAAATCTGGTGTGGGGGGTGGCAAGTCCTAAACTGAAGCCTTAAAAAAAAAAAAAAATTAACAGCGCTGTCTTAAAAAAAAAAATGGAGGGAGAGAATGAAGAAAAAATAATTAATGCAAGATCATGAACAAAAAACAGGCTCTTCATGCCTGGCTGAAAGCAGTTCTCTTATTTTTAGGTTGCTCTCTTAAGACATCGCAACTTCCCCAGAACAGTGAGAGAACAAAACACAGCTTTCAGAGCAGGGCAGAAAATGACACATGCAATCTTATGGGGGGGGGGGGGGGG